TTCGTATTCATTTGAAAATCGTAGCATGAGATAGAATATATTTTTGGATAAAATCAAATTTTGGAATAAACATCAATGTGCTCCTGCAAGGTAAAAAGAAAGGAAAACATAACATCTTTCATTTGGGATGAGAAAAGAATGTCCTTTGCAAGGTCTAAGTTAAAGACACCTAAAATAAAAAGATCAATCTTGATGATTAGGATGAAATTAGCTACTCTTATCTTCCCCTAATTTTAAAAAGATTGTTGTGGGAAATACAATATGAAAATGCTCTTTAAATGACCATGCACTCTATTATCCATGTGTCTACTTAAAATCAAAAGAAGTATAGTTTCTCTCATTACAGCTCCAACATTTAAGACACCCTCGCTTCTTTTGGCCGTACTTTTACTTCTGTTACTCTCAATTTAAATAGACTTCTAAGATTTTCCTCTCCAATTACTACATGTCTTCTCCGTTTCTTTCCTTGTTCACCTTTGATTTTTTTTTAAAGAAGAGCAAGGAGGCATTGCAATACTAAAAAATGTTAATAGAGTGTATATAGGGCATGTTCTCTGATTCGACTTTTAGCTTACCTTCACACGTAGTCCCAGTCCAGCCATCAGCACAGACACAAGTAAAGGTGTTGTCTCCATCAGTGCAAACTCCTTCATTTTTACAAGGAACGGCAAAACATTCGTCGGTATCTGTGCCAAATGAGTTCCAAAGATAAAGAATGCGATAAAAGTGAAAAGAAAATAATTCCATTACTAGATGTTTTCTCCATTTCTCCATGTTCACCCTTGATCTCTTTTTTAAGAGCAAGGAGTCATTGCAATACTAAAAAACTGTTTAATAGAGTGTGTATAGGCATGTTATCGGATTCGACTTTTTAGCTTACCCTCACACGTAGTCCCAGTCCAGCCATCAGCACAGACACAAGTAAAGTGTTGTCCATCAGTGCAAACTCCTTCATTCTTACAAGGAACGTCAAAACATTCGTCGGTATCTGTGCCAAATGAGTTCCAAAGATAAAGAATGTGATAAAAGTGAAAAGAAATAATTCCCATTTTGACAGATTTTTCATTATTTGGGGGAAAATAGGAAAATATAATATGATCTGATATTTTTAAATTCAAAGCAATGACTGTAGAGGAACAGTTTAGTTCATGTATAAAACAACTAAAAAGTTATCAAATGAGATAAATTAACTGAAGGCCCTTTAAAATTCGTATTCATTTCAAAATCGTAGCATGAGATAGAAAATATTTTTTGGTTCAATCAAATTTTGGAATAAACATCAATGTGCTCCTGCAAGGTAAAAAAAGAAAGGAAAACATAACATCTTTCATTTGGATGAGAAAAGAATGTCCTTTGCAAGGTCTAAGTTTAAAGACACCTAAAATAAAAAGATCAATCTTGATGATTAGGATGAAATTAGCTACTCTTATCTTCCCTAATTTTAAAAGATTGTTGTGGGAAATACAATATGAAAACTGCTCTTTAAATGACCATGCACTCTTATTATCCATGTGTCTACTTAAAATCAAAAGAGTATAGTTTCTCTCATTACAGCTCCAACATTTAAGACACCCTCGCTTCTTTTGCCGTACTTTTACTTCTGTTTACTCTCAATTTAAAATAGGCTTCTAAGATTTTCCTCTCAATTACTACATGTCTTCTCCGTTTCTTTCCTTGTTCACCTTTGATTTTTTTTAAGAAGAGCAAGGAGGCATTGCAATACTAAAAAACTGTTTAATAGAGGTGTATATAGGCATGTTCTCTGATTCGACTTTTAGCTTACCCTCACACGTAGTCCCAGTCCAGCCATCAGCACAGACACAAGTAAAGGTGTTGTCTCCATCAGTGCAAACTCCTTCATTCTTACAAGGAACGGCAAAACATTCGTCGGTATCTGTGCCAAATGAGTTCCAAAGATAAAGAATGTGATAAAAGTGAAAAGAAAATAATCCCATTTTGACAGATTTTTCATTATTTGGGGGAAATAGGCAAATAATAATATGATCTGATATTTAAATTCAAAGCAATGACTGAAGAGGAAAGTTCAGTTCATGTATAAAAAACTAAAAGTTATCAAATGAGAGAATTAAAAACTGAAGGCCTCCTTTTAAATTCGTATTCATTTCAAAATCGTAGCATGAGATAGAATATTTTTTGGTTAAAATCAAATTTGGAATAAACATCAATGTGCTCCTGCAAGGTAAAAAAGAAAGGAAAACATAACATCTTTCATTTGGGATGAGAAAAGAATGTCCTTTGCAAGGTCTAAGTTTAAAGACACCTAAAATAAAAAAGATCAATCTTGATGATTAGGATGAAATTAGCTACTCTTATCTTCCCCTAATTTTAAAAAGATTGTTGTGGGAAATACAATATGAAAACTGCTCTTTAAATGACCATGCACTCTTATTATCCATGTGTCTACTTAAAATCAAAAGAAGTATAGTTTCTCTCATTACAGCTCCAACATTAAGACACCCTCGCTTCTTTTGGCCGTACTTTTACTTCTGTTTACTCTCAATTTAAAATAGACTTCTAAGATTTTCCTCTCCAATTACTACATGTCTTCTCCGTTTCTTTCCTTGTTCACCTTTGATTTTTTTTTAAGAAGAGCAAGGAGGCATTGCAATACTAAAAAACTGTTTAATAGAGTGTATATAGGCATGTTCTCTGATTCGACTTTTTAGCTTACCTTCACACGTAGTCCCAGTCCAGCCATCAGCACAGACACAAGTAAAGGTGTTGTCTCCATCAGTGCAAACTCCTTCATTCTTACAAGGAACGGCAAAACATTCGTCGGTATCTGTGCCAAATGAGTTCCAAAGATAAAGAATGCAATAAAAGTAAAAAGAAAATAATTCCTATTACTAGATGTTTTTCTCCATTTCTTTCCATGTTCACCCTTGATCTCTTTTTTTAAGAGCAAGGAGTCATTGCAATACTAAAAAACTGTTTAATAGAGTGTGTATAGGCATGTTATCGGATTCGACTTTTGGCTTACCCTCACACGTAGTCCCAGTCCAGCCATCAGCACAGACACAAGTAAAGGTGTTGTCTCCATCAGTGCAAACTCCTTCATTCTTACAAGGAACGTCAAAACATTCGTCGGTATCTGTGCCAAATGAGTTCCAAAGATAAAGAATGTGAAAAAGTGAAAAGAAAATAATTCCCATTTTGACAGATTTTTCATTATTTGGGGGAAAATAGGAAAATATAATATGATCTGATATTTTTAAATTCAAAGCAATGACTGTAGAGAAAAAGTTTAGTTCATGTATAAAACAACTAAAAAGTTATCAAATGAGATAAATTAACTGAAGGCCTCCTTTAAAATTCGTATTCATTTAAATCGTAGCATGAGATAGAAAATATTTTTTGGTTCAAATCAAATTTTGGAATAAACATCAATGTGCTCCTGCAAGGTAAAAAAGGAAAGGAAAACATAACATCTTTTTTGGGATGAGAAAAGAATGTCCTTTGCAAGGTCTAAGTTTAAAGACACCTAAAATAAAAAGATCAATCTTGATGATTAGGATGAAATTAGCTACTCTTATCTTCCCCTAATTTTAAAAAGATTGTTGTGAAATACAATATGAAAACTGCTCTTTAAATGACCATGCACTCTTATTATCCATGTGTCTACTTAAAATCAAAAGAAGTATAGTTTCTCTCATTACAGCTCCAACATTTAAGACACCCTCGCTTCTTTTGGCCGTACTTTTACTTCTGTTACTCTCAATTTAAAATAGGCTTCTAAGATTTTCCTCTCCAATTACTACATGTCTTCTCCGTTTCTTTCCTTGTTCACCTTGATTTTTTTTTAAGAAGAGCAAGGAGGCATTGCAATACTTAAAAACTGTTTAATAGAGTGTATATAGGCATGTTCTCTGATTCGACTTTTAAGCTTACCTTCACACGTAGTCCCAGTCCAGCCATCAGCACAGACACAAGTAAAGGTGTTGTCTCCATCAGTGCAAACTCCTTCATTCTTACAAGGAACGGCAAAACATTCGTCGGTATCTGTGCCAAATGAGTTCCAAAGATAAAGAATGCAATAAAAGTGAAAAGAAAATAATTCCTATTACTAGATGTTTTCTCCATTTCTTTCCATGCTCACCTTGATCTCTTTTTTTAAGAGCAAGGAGTCATTGCAATACTAAAAAACTGTTTAATAGAGTGTGTATAGGCATGTTATCGGATTCGACTTTTTGGCTTACCCTCACACGTAGTCCCAGTCCAGCCATCAGCACAGACACAAGTAAAGGTGTTGTCTCCATCAGTGCAAACTCCTTCATTCTTACAAGGAACGGCAAAACATTCGTCGGTATCTGTGCCAAATGAGTTCCAAAGATAAAGAATGTGATAAAAGTGAAAAGAAAATAATTCCCATTTTGACAGATTTTTCATTATTTGGGGAAAATAGGAAAATATAATATGATCTGATATTTTTAAATTCAAAGCAATGACTGTAGAGGAACGGTAAGTTCATGTATAAAACAACTAAAAAGTTATCAAATGAGATAAATTAACTGAAGGCCTCCTTTAAAATTCGTATTCATTTCAAAATCGTAGCATGAGATAGAAAATATTTTTTGGTTCAAATCAAATTTTGGAATAAACATCAATGTGCTCCTGCAAGGTAAAAAAAGAAAGGAAAACATAACATCTTTCATTTGGGATGAGAAAAGAATGTCCTTTGCAAGGTCTAAGTTTAAAGACACCTAAAATAAAAAAGATCAATCTTGATGATTAGGATGAAATTAGCTACTCTTATCTTCCCCTAATTTTAAAAAGATTGTTGTGGGAAATACAATATGAAAACTGCTCTTTAAATGACCATGCACTCTTATTATCCATGTGTCTACTTAAAATCAAAAGAAGTATAGTTTCTCTCATTACAGCTCCAACATTTAAGACACCTCGCTTCTTTTGGCCGTACTTTTACTTCTGTTTACTCTCAATTTAAATAGCTTCTAAGATTTTCCTCTCCAATTACTACATGTCTCCGTTTCTTTCCTTGTTCACCTTTGATTTTTTTTTAAGAAGAGCAAGGAGGCATTGCAATACTTAAAAACTGTTTAATAGAGTGCATATAGGCATGTTCTCTGATTCGACATTTAAGCTTACCTTCACACGTAGTCCCAGTCCAGCCATCAGCACAGACACAAGTAAAGGTGTTGTCTCCATCAGTGCAAACTCTTCATTCTTACAAGGAACGGCAAAACATTCGTCGGTATCTGTGCCAAATGAGTTCCAAAGATAAAGAATGCAATAAAAGTGAAAAGAAAATAATTCCCATTACTAGATGTTTTCTCCATTTCTTTCCATGTTCACCCTGATCTCTTTTTTTAAGAGCAAGGAGTCATTGCAATACTAAAAAACTGTTTAATAGAGTGTATATAGGCATGTTCTCTGATTCGACTTTTTAGCTTACCTTCACACGTAGTCCCAGTCCAGCCATCAGCACAGACACAAGTAAAGGTGTTGTCTCCATCAGTGCAAACTCCTTCATTTTTACAAGGAACGGCAAAAACATTCGTCGGTATCTGTGCCAAATGAGTTCCAAAGATAAAGAATGCGATAAAAGTAAAAAGAAAATAATTCCAATTACTAGATGTTTTCTCAATTTCTTTCCATGTTCACCCTTGATCTCTTTTTTTAAGAGCAAGGAGTCATTGCAATACTAAAAAACTGTTTAATAGAGTGTGTATATAGGCATGTTATCGGATTCGACTTTTTAGCTTACCCTCACACGAAGTCCCAGTCCAGCCATCAGCACAGACACAAGTAAAGGTGTTGTCTCCATCAGTGCAAACTCCTTCATTCTGACAAGGAACGTCAAAACATTCGTCGGTATCTGTGCCAAATGAGTTCCAAAGATAAAGAATGTGATAAAAGTTAAAAGAAAATAATTCCCATTTTGACAGATTTTTCATTATTTGGGGGAAAATAGGCAAATATAATATGATCTGATATTTTTAAATTCAAAGCAATGACTGTAGAGGAAAAGTTCAGTTCATGTATAAAACAACTAAAAAGTTATCAAATGAGATAAATTAACTGAAGGCCTCCTTTAAATTTCGTATTCATTTAAAAATCGTAGCATGAGATAGAAAATAATTTTTGGATAAAATCAAATTTTGGAATAAACATCAATGTGCTCCTGCAAGGTAAAAAAGGAAAGGAAAACATAACATCTTTCATTTGGGATGAGAAAAGAATGTCCTTTGCAAGGTCTAAGTTTAAAGACACCTAAAATAAAAAAGATCAATCTTGATGATTAGGATGAAATTAGCTACTCTTATCTTCCCCTAATTTTAAAAAGATTGTTGTGGGAAATACAATATAAAAACTGCTCTTTAAATGACCATGCACTCTTATTATCCATGTGTCTACTTAAAATCAAAAGAAGTATAGTTTCTCTCATTACAGCTCCAACATTTAAGACACCCTCGCTTCTTTTGGCCGTACTTTTACTTCTGTTTACTCTCAATTTAAAATAGGCTTCTAAGATTTTCCTCTCCAATTACTACATGTCTTCTCCGTTTCTTTCCTTGTTCACCTTTGATTTTTTTTAAGAAGAGCAAGGAGGCATTGCAATACTTAAAAACTGTTTAATAGAGTGCATATAGGCATGTTCTCTGATTCGACTTTTAAGCTTACCTTCACACGTAGTCCCAGTCCAGCCATCAGCACAGACACAAGTAAAGGTGTTGTCTCCATCAGTGCAAACTCCTTCATTCTTACAAGGAATGGCAAAACATTCGTCGGTATCTGTGCCAAATGAGTTCCAAAGATAAAGAATGCAATAAAAGTGAAAAGAAAATAATTCCTATTACTAGATGTTTTCTCCATTTCTTTCCATGCTCACCCTTGATCTCTTTTTTAAGAGCAAGGAGTCATTGCAATACTAAAAAACTGTTTAATAGAGTGTGTATAGGCATGTTATCGGATTCGACTTTTTGGCTTACCCTCACACGTAGTCCCAGTCCAGCCATCAGCACAGACACAAGTAAAGGTGTTGTCTCCATCAGTGCAAACTCCTTCATTCTTACAAGGAACGGCAAAACATTCGTCGGTATCTGTGCCAAATGAGTTCCAAAGATAAAGAATGCGATAAAAGTGAAAAGAAAATAATTCCCATTTTGACAGATTTTTCATTATTTGGGGGAAAATAGGAAAATATAATATGATCTGATATTTTAAATTCAAAGCAATGACTGTAGAGGAACGGTTAAGTTCATGTATAAAACAACTAAAAAGTTATCAAATGAGATAAATTAACTGAAGGCCTCCTTTAAAATTCGTATTCATTTCAAAATCGTAGCATGAGATAGAATATATTTTTTGGATAAAATCAAATTTTGGAATAAACATCAATGTGCTCCTGCAAGGTAAAAAAAGAAAGGAAAACATAACATCTTTCATTTGGGATGAGAAAAGAATGTCCTTTGCAAGGTCTAAGTTTAAAGACACCTAAAATAAAAAAGATCAATCTTGATGATTAGGATGAAATTAGCTACTCTTATCTTCCCCTAATTTTAAAAAGATTGTTGTGGGAAATACAATATGAAAACTGCTCTTTAAATGACCATGCACTCTTATTATCTATGTGTCTACTTAAAATCAAAAGAAGTATAGTTTCTCTCATTACAGCTCCAACATTTAAGACACCCTCGCTTCTTTTGGCCGTACTTTTACTTCTGTTTACTCTCAATTTAAAATAGACTTCTAAGATTTTCCTCTCCAATTACTACATGTCTTCTCCGTTTCTTTCCTTGTTCACCTTTGATTTTTTTTTAAGAAGAGCAAGGAGGCATTGCAATACTTAAAAAACTGTTTAATAGAGTGCATATAGGCATGTTCTCTGATTCGACATTTAAGCTTACCTTCACACGTAGTCCCAGTCCAGCCATCAGCACAGACACAAGTAAAGGTGTTGTCTCCATCAGTGCAAACTCCTTCATTCTTACAAGGAACGGCAAAACATTCGTCGGTATCTGTGCCAAATGAGTTCCAAAGATAAAGAATGCAATAAAAGTGAAAAGAAAATAATTCCCATTACTAGATGTTTTCTCCATTTCTTTCCATGTTCACCCTTGATCTCTTTTTTTAAGAGCAAGGAGTCATTGCAATACTAAAAAACTGTTTAATAGAGTGTATATAGGCATGTTCTCTGATTCGACTTTTTAGCTTACCTTCACACGTAGTCCCAGTCCAGCCATCAGCACAGACACAAGTAAAGGTGTTGTCTCCATCAGTGCAAACTCCTTCATTTTACAAGGAACGGCAAAACATTCGTCGGTATCTGTGCCAAATGAGTTCCAAAGATAAAGAATGCGATAAAAGTAAAAAGAAAATAATTCCAATTACTAGATGTTTTCTCAATTTCTTTCCATGTTCACCCTTGATCTCTTTTTTTAAGAGCAAGGAGTCATTGCAATACTAAAAAACTGTTTAATAGAGTGTGTATATAGGCATGTTATCGGATTCGACTTTTTAGCTTACCCTCACACGAAGTCCCAGTCCAGCCATCAGCACAGACACAAGTAAAGGTGTTGTCTCCATCAGTGCAAACTCCTTCATTCTGACAAGGAACGTCAAAACATTCGTCGGTATCTGTGCCAAATGAGTTCCAAAGATAAAGAATGTGATAAAAGTTAAAAGAAAATAATTCCCATTTTGACAGATTTTTCATTATTTGGGGGAAAATAGGCAAATATAATATGATCTGATATTTTTAAATTCAAAGCAATGACTGTAGAGGAAAAGTTCAGTTCATGTATAAAACAACTAAAAAGTTATCAAATGAGATAAATTAACTGAAGGCCTCCTTTAAATTTCGTATTCATTTAAAAATCGTAGCATGAGATAGAAAATAATTTTTGGATAAAATCAAATTTTGGAATAAACATCAATGTGCTCCTGCAAGGTAAAAAAGGAAAGGAAAACATAACATCTTTCATTTGGGATGAGAAAAGAATGTCCTTTGCAAGGTCTAAGTTTAAAGACACCTAAAATAAAAAAGATCAATCTTGATGATTAGGATGAAATTAGCTACTCTTATCTTCCCCTAATTTTAAAAAGATTGTTGTGGGAAATACAATATAAAAACTGCTCTTTAAATGACCATGCACTCTTATTATCCATGTGTCTACTTAAAATCAAAAGAAGTATAGTTTCTCTCATTACAGCTCCAACATTTAAGACACCCTCGCTTCTTTTGGCCGTACTTTTACTTCTGTTTACTCTCAATTTAAAATAGGCTTCTAAGATTTTCCTCTCCAATTACTACATGTCTTCTCCGTTTCTTTCCTTGTTCACCTTTGATTTTTTTTTAAGAAGAGCAAGGAGGCATTGCAATACTTAAAAACTGTTTAATAGAGTGCATATAGGCATGTTCTCTGATTCGACTTTTAAGCTTACCTTCACACGTAGTCCCAGTCCAGCCATCAGCACAGACACAAGTAAAGGTGTTGTCTCCATCAGTGCAAACTCCTTCATTCTTACAAGGAATGGCAAAACATTCGTCGGTATCTGTGCCAAATGAGTTCCAAAGATAAAGAATGCAATAAAAGTGAAAAGAAAATAATTCCTATTACTAGATGTTTTCTCCATTTCTTTCCATGCTCACCCTTGATCTCTTTTTTTAAGAGCAAGGAGTCATTGCAATACTAAAAAACTGTTTAATAGAGTGTGTATAGGCATGTTATCGGATTCGACTTTTTGGCTTACCCTCACACGTAGTCCCAGTCCAGCCATCAGCACAGACACAAGTAAAGGTGTTGTCTCCATCAGTGCAAACTCCTTCATTCTTACAAGGAACGGCAAAACATTTGTCGGTATCTGTGCCAAATGAGTTCCAAAGATAAAGAATGCGATAAAAGTGAAAAGAAAATAATTCCCATTTTGACAGATTTTTCATTATTTGGGGGAAAATAGGAAAATATAATATGATCTGATATTTTAAATTCAAAGCAATGACTGTAGAGGAACGGTTAAGTTCATGTATAAAACAACTAAAAAGTTATCAAATGAGATAAATTAACTGAAGGCCTCCTTTAAAATTCGTATTCATTTCAAAATCGTAGCATGAGATAGAATATATTTTTTGGATAAAATCAAATTTTGGAATAAACATCAATGTGCTCCTGCAACGTAAAAAAAGAAAGGAAAACATAACATCTTTCATTTGG